TTTATACAGTTTTAGAGAAAGACATAAGAGTGAGATCTGCCATCATATACAGGTGCATCTCAATAAATTAGAATGTCATGGAAAAGTTCATTTATTTCAGTAATTCAACTCAAATTGTGAAACTCGTGTATTAAATAAATTTAATGCACACAGACTGAAGTAGTTTAAGTCTTTGGTTCTTTTAATTGTGATGATTTTGGCTCACATTTAACAAAAACCCACCAATTCACTATCTCAACTAATTAGAATACTTCATAAGACCAATAAAAAAAAACTTTTTAGTGAATTGTTGGCCTTCTGGAAAGTATGTTCATTTACTGTACATGTACTCAATACTTGGTAGGGGCTCCTTTTGCTTTAATTACTTCGGCGTGGCATGGAGGCTTTGTCTCTCACAAACACACACACACAAAGAACACACAGAAAAATACAATCGCACAAAATGTCACTTGTTTGATGTCACTGCTACAACCTGTGCCCCTTAAACTTTAAAATTAAAGGTCCTCCACACACCAAAAGGGCACATGAAGCAGCTCCTCTGGCATTTATCCATAGCTGCATGTCTGTCTTTTAATATAATACTTCATAAAAGTATTCCTCAACACAGGCTCATTGCAAAAATGTGCCTGGTAAATATTACGTAATTGCTTCTTAATTATTACGTAATTGTTTTCATGACACTTTCAAAGTGAAATTATATTGTTTTTTTATGTTTCTTGTAATATATATTGTGGCAATTCAGAAATGAAATGTCCATTGAGACATTTCAGCTGGAAACTGCAGTTAATAGGTTCGGTTTTGAAGTTATCCAAAAATGTAGGAAGATGCTTGTTTTTCCAATGAGCCTAGGTTAATATTCCAACTCAGGTTCGGCAAACTGGGTTTATATTTTTCATTTTAATCTGTTTCCAATTAAATTGTTTAAGTCGCACAAATGTGTATTCATGTATTCATCTTGCTACTTTAGTGAAAATAGCACAAAACTTGCAGTGATTAATTTCCTGCCCCTTCCAAAAACTGAAAAGACTCTTGTGATAAATGTATGGTAATTGCAGGCCTTTGTTTGATGGTCTCATTGTATAAACCTGTTCTGTGTTTCACAATTCATTCAAAGCTCCATTCCACAGTGTGGACTGATTTAGATTATGGAAATGTTTTCTTTTGTTTTTCTCTCAGATTCAAATGCTTTGCTTTTTCCATTTGTGTCTCTCTCCATATTCTTTCCTCAACTCATCTGTCTCTCTCATTCTATTGTGTGAGGCATGAGAACACATATATAAGCTCTCTAAAAAGATCAATGTTACATCCCAGTCACAATAGCATTTATTATCATCTGCTCTCTCTCTTTCTTGTACTCTCTCTCATGCTTCTCTGATATTGGGGTGTGTGTGTGTGTGTGTGTGTGTGTGTGTGTTTTGAACTTTTGCTTGAGTTTGGTAGACTGTCCTGTTATTATCCTGCTATCATTAACCTCATGGCATTTATCAAAACACCTTAATAGCACCACAAAATGTCACTGGGCAAAATAAAAAAAATCTTATGAGACACATAATTGTGTCTCTGTGTGCTTAAAGTAGATTCCTGGGGTGTGTAAGTCCATTTGAGGGGATGTTGTGTATCACAGGCATGTGTCATGAGCAAATATCAAGTTGTCTCAAGGGTTTTGATCCCCTGCATCCATTTTTGAACATGAAGAAATTTATCCACAAAACCTTTTTAACGATTTACCTACCACTGTTTTGCAGTCAGCGTACACTTAATGTAAATTAGCACAGGCTTTAAGTAGCCTATTACTTCAAAATTGAGGCAGTTCATGACCCCTACACAATGTCAGTGTTAACCACAATACCCACCCAAAACCAACTTAGCATACACTTATATAAAGAACAACTTTATATAAACTAACTCTTTTTTCTGCTTTGGTCTTGATTTATCTCAACTAGGACACCAAATGAGTACTTATTAAGTGATTAATGTGAACGCAAGAGTCTATCTAGAATGTTCTGCCTGGACTTTTGGCATTCTGAGGCCAAGGCACACCATCTGCCACACACACACACACATACACACACACACTCAAATACATACAACAACAATATCACACTCTTACAGCCAGTCTCTCTCTAGCTGCAGTGCAGCTGCAGTCTGTTTTTAGCAGTTTGGTCTGCCAGATACAGAGAATAGGGAAGAAAAAGAGAGGGAGGCAGGCCAACAGGTGGAGAAGAAAGGTGGGAGAAATGTGAGGAGGAAAACAAGGTGACTGAAGAAAAAGGAAATGGGAGAGGTTCTGTGTTCTGTTGCCTAGCTACCAGCATTGTTCCATCTGGGGGGATGTTGCAATTTTACTGCAAAGACCAGATTACATCGTGTCAGGTTCAAGTGATTGTCCCACATACACACACACACACAATATCTGTGCAGATAGTCTTTCACTGAGACTACTTCTCTTACAAATACGTGCTAAAACAAACAGACGTGTGAGTGAGCGAGTGAGTGAGTGAGTGTGCACAGAAGTGATCAATGCTGCACACAGATCAGACACACAGGGATCACTTGGCTGTAACTAGTCTGTGATTGTGTGTGCAGCTGCTTTTGCATTCATATTGAAGGGTTTTCATCTAAACAAAGTCACCTGTGTGTATCTGTGTTGAGCAGACTAGCTATATGCTGCCTTGTCTCTCTTGTGTCTTTTTATGAGCACCTCTAAAGCACTCTCAGACCCACTGTTACCAACTTTCGCAAGACAAATAAGCAACCACTGCTTCAAAAACAAACCCAATTTTTTTTATGATTTATTATCATCAATATTATTTATTATCAATTATTTATTACCAATAAATGAGCCTGCAACATATTAAACTCTTTTATCTGAAAAGCAAAAACGGAAGCTATTTTACAAAAATCAGCAAACTGCAACAAAAATGGGAACAAAACTCATCTCCAATCACCTGTGTGCAGAATAGGATTGGAGAGATGGAAAAGGAGAAAAACACAAGAGCTTCAAAGGGGAGCTGTAACATAGCCACATATTTATAGCCTACTAAAATATAGGCTATTCGAACCAGATTTACTCTTAGTATTATAGCCCGTGATGATTAATACATTACAAAAACATTGTAAAAAAAATGAAAAAATGCTAAAAGAAAGTCATCCCACTCCTCTACGTCTACTTCTGTCATCGCTTGAATTACAGCGTCATGGCACGCGCCTTCTTTTTGAACGTGATTTTCTCCAATGAGGGGGAGGAGGGAGCGGAACATTTGGCAAATTACGCTGCAGCACTTATATTATTGCACTGGTTGGCTATTAACTGCAAGCAGACAAAGTGTCATTCAATGCATTGGAGAATACGGCGAACATAAATAAAATAGGATTGGAGAGATGGAAAAGGAGAAAAACACAAGAGCTTCAAAGAGGAGCTGTAACATAGCCACATATTTATAGCCTACTAAAATATAGGCTATTCGAACCAGATTTACTCTTAGTATTATAGCCCGTGATGATTAATACATTACAAAAACATTGTAAAAAAAATGAAAAAATGCTAAAAGAAAGTCATCCCACTCCTCTACGTCTACTTCTGTCATCGCTTGAATTACAGCGTCATGGCACGCGCCTTCTTTTTGAACGTGATTTTCTCCAATGAGGGGGAGGAGGGAGCGGAACATTTGGCAAATTACGCTGCAGCACTTATATTATTGCACTGGTTGGCTATTAACTGCAAGCAGACAAAGTGTCATTCAATGCATTGGAGAATACGGCGAACATAAATAAAGAAACGAAGTTGCTTGTCAGATTTCCCTAACAAGCAACCATCTTTTTTAAAATAAGCCCAAAAAACCGTAACCTGGGATTTTTTCACGCAGCTTTACAAAAAAAGAAGCCCAAAGTCGCGTATAATACTTGGCAACTATGCTCAGACCTCTTAGATTGTGGCTTAACCATTTGTTTAAAAATAAGAACTGAAGACAGTTTAATAAAGAGATTCATCCAAAGAGGGTGAAAAAGAGAGTGAGAGAGAAAGGCAGTGGGGCCCAGAAGTTCACCAAAAAAAAGTAATTAAAAATCCATTTTAATTTTAGGATTTTGAAAAACGTAAAGAAACTATGTGCACAATAGATGCAGTTATCAGTGTCAAAATGTTTGAGATGGCTAATTAAATCAAACAAAGCAGGGAATTATATTTATTTGAAGCGAAAATGGAATGTGTATTATTCCAGCACTACACATCAGCCAGTGGTTTAAGAAGTTTTTTTATTTTATGTCAGTTTATGATCAAATAAAACATCATGGGCCAGATTTTCAAAGAGTTTGCATCAGTGCAAACCATTGTTTGGCATTAAAAAATAAAGAAACAGTGAAACATTAGTAATGAAAGGTGTGGACACTGGACAGTCCTTTTTGCAGCTAACCTTATGCATATCCGAGTGCAAAATTTATGGAAGAGGAATATTTAGGAAGGTTATTTACTAAGGTTTGAGGTTGTAAATTTACTAATATTTGTCCATTATTTAACACACCAGAAAAGTATGTCTTAACCCATCTTGTGCCTCTGTTTTTAGTAGATTACACCCGATTTTCAGCTCTACACCAGTTTGCACTGCTCTTGGTAGATTGTGTTGGTTGGGATCTTTTTTTTTTTTTTGAAAGATGTGTCGCCAAGGCTGTATGTATTTAACAGATGTAAAATTCTTTACTGTCTTTACTTTGATCAGTGTAATGCATCCTTGCTGAAAAAAAAAGATAATAAAAAATCAAACTAAATCTTACTGACCCCAAACTTATGAACGCTAGTAAGCATATTAGAATGAGATATTTAAAAAAGTACAATTCCAGGACAGTTTCTCAAATTTTTATGCTGATACTATAATTAGTAATAATAATTTAGAGAAATGCATTTTACTAGACTTTTTGACCCTATTGTTTAGCTGTACTCTGTAATGTCTTCCACATGACGCAGGTGGTCTCACATTCATGGCATATCTTGTCTTTCTCCTCAGCTCATCTCCAGTGATGCAGACGGGGCCATACAGAGAGCTGGACGATTCAGAGTGGAGAACGGTTCAATAGATGAGGTAAGATACTGAAATATTGTACAGTCTGAAATGTGTGTGCGCATTGTATATAATGGATTGTAATAGACTCGAAAGTGGCTAGAGGCTAAACAATTATTGAAGTTCTTTTGACCATGGAGAGATTCAACAAGGTTTTGAACTCATTCGCTTGCATACTGATGACTGCGGGTTCAAGTCAGTGCAGCATTGCAGGCACGGGGGGCGATGCAATGTATGTAAATACATGCGTAAGAAGTGAAGGTGGACAGGAAGAGGAGCACAGATTAAAAGAAGTGGGAGGAAGGATGAAGAAAGGAGAGTGAACAGATGTATTCATCTGGCAGTAAGCAAAAAATCTAAACTGCCAGCTTTTGTGTTTTATGAGCATGTCTGTAGGTGTTTCAATGAAACACACATGCATCAGCAAAAACAACAATCAAAGCCAAATTATTCAATCAGTTCCCAATGTTCTTGCTCTCTTCTCCCTCCATCCACTTGTCCTTATCATTTCAAGCACCAGACTGTAGCTATGACAACCTCCAATGCTTTATCCCTCCAAAACAGACCTCTGATTGGTTGTTAATGATTTAGGCTGGACTGTCACCATAGTGATTAGGGTTCTTTTGAGTATATAGGGAGGCTGTTGTTTACGCTGAGTTGTTTACAATTTGTCAGCGTGAAAATATCAGTTGGAATTTGTGCTGGAACATGATGGCATTAATTACTGGGTGAGCAGATGTGTACCAGACATGTTTGTGTTCGCATGTATGTGTGTGCCTTACAACAAAGCAATAAAAAAGTATTAGAGTTTCAGGCTAGTTGACAAAACAGTCACTTGTCCTTTTGAGCCAGTGTTGCTTTGCAGCTGAAATTTTACACTTCATTCATTTTTCTGCATTTTGGACATAAAGGTTTGTATTTTATGACCTGTACTATGTTTAGGGCGCCTATAAAACCTATTTTTCTGGACATGCCTTAGTTAGTTGGGATTTCTAAATTACAGTTTTGGCTTTGTTTGCCTATTTTTTTCATAGTTGCTGAAGGTAATGAGTGAAAAGTAGTTTGACCAATAGAGTGCAGGCATTAGCTGCGTTTCCATGACAGATTTGCACAAAACGTTGGCGATATTTACTGTATAAATGTCGATTTAAAAAACGATTGCAAAATGATGGAGTTTCCAATAGCCTAAACGATGTTATGCAACTAAAGCGTAATTTTTTACTCTCGCATGAAGTCATGACAACGGATGTTGGTAGGTTTACAAATATCAAAGCCACCGCATTAGCCATTATTTTTAATCGAAGGAGACATACAATAGGCGTGTATCTTTAGCAAAGCAGCGCAGAGAGTCGCTTCTGGAATGTGCCACGGAGAGGCTGGTATAAACACAAGCATTAACTAGAGCGGCCGTGATCAAATCCGGTGGCCGTGTCGGAGCCGTAATGTGCCACAGACGTGTGCAGTATAAATAAGGGGTTATCCAAGCAGTAATGGCAAGGAAAGCCCCTTATACTTGAGAGGTGTTTCTTCAGGTTATAGTACATTAAAGAATGATCATTTGAGTTTTACGTATACGCCAGGTGACCTGTAAATGCAAAAAAACTGTTTTCCATTGCAGTTTTGTGAAATAGTCCTTTTACAAATTGCCTGAAAAACCACCCTTATATGAGCGTAAATATAATTTGCAATATATGGGAGTTTTTGCGAAATTGATGTGTTTCCATTGGGCATGTTTTCAATTCACAATTTCAGTTTGCGCAATTGACCAATCATGGCATGTGAGACCTACAGAGAATGATCAAACAATGCACAAATACGCCTACATATAATGTATGGGAAGCCTACGGAGCATGTCAATAGGATAACAAAGCCAAAACCCAGACATTTTAGGCAACATAGAAATCCTGGCCAGAACATGTCCAGGAAAAAGATGATGCATTCTCACCCTATTGTTTGTTGCAATTTTTGTTGGTTTCCAAGATAATATTATCTAGCTGACTAACATAGAGATTTTATATATTAAACATAAAAGTATATTTATATATATTAAACATAAATATTTCTATATACTGTATATTTAAAAAAATCTGATTGATCTTGGTTAAATTCTTGGGGGACTTTTTTGTAGGCCTCTGACTACATGCCTGGAACATGGAGGCGAACTGACGTCCATTTGGAGAACCCAGAGTATCATACCAGATGGTACTTCAAGTACTTACTGGGAAAAGGTAGGATTCCACTGCCAAGTATAGAATATGCACACATACACACACACACACACACACACACAAACTTGCAAATGATCTTGTATACACATACTGTACATGCACACATATCCATGTTGGGATGTGATTTATTTTTACTCAGCAGAGCATAATGAAGAGAATAACACTAATTTGAGTCTATGGAAAAGAAAAACTTGAATTACATAGGGAATAACTGAACAGTTTGAGAATAATCAAAGTAGGGTTGGGAATTGAGTTCTTATTAAGAACCAATTCCATTTTACCATACCATTTACCAGCTATATGCTTCATCACTCTTTTTTCTTGTCTTTCTTTATCTCCTTTCCTCACACAAAAACAAACACTGTTGTTCCCACATGTTTTAAGGCAGATGCTGCATTATGTCTCTTTAATTGATTTAAATCACTGCAAATACCTTTCATTCAATGAGAGGGTGATTGAATGAGAAAGGGGGAGAGAGACCAAATATGCTTCAGAGGAAGGGTGGAGATGCAGAGACAGACCAGATCTTGTCTTCTAATTGGATTTCAGCCTCTTTTCATTTGTCTTCTGTCTGTAAACCTGGTCTGTCTCAGTCCAAAATATTCTCCTCAAACAGCAGGCTTCTATCCCTTCCTTCCTCTTTCCCTCTTATTCTGATGCGCCAGGAATAGATCTAAATAAACAGGCATCTTCACAGTCACATCTCTGAGGACAGTTCACATGGTCACAGCACTTTGGTGTGGCATCTATCAGCAACATTGCGCAGGCAGCACATCAAGAAGGCAGAAAAGAAAATAGCTCCAAAAACTTTTATATGCATCGACCAATTTTTTCCTGTACACTACCATTGAAATGTTTGGGGTCAGTAAGAGACGGCACAGTATATCAATACAAAATGACAGTAAAGACATTTATAACGTTACAAAAGATTACATTTTTTAATAAATGCTGTTTTGTTGAAGTTTCTATTCATCAAAGAATCATTAGGTTTCCACTCAAATGTTAAGCAGCACAAGTATGAGTATCAGCCATTACATAATATAAAATATAAAAATGTATATATAGAGGTGCATCTCAATAAATTAGAATGTTGTGGAAAAGTTCATTTATTTCAGTAATTCAGCTCAAATTGTGAAACTCGTGTATTAAATAAATTCAATGCACACAGACTGAAGTAGTTTAAGTCTTTGGTTCTTTTAATTGTGATATATATATATATATATATATATCACAGTATTACTGTTTTTTACTGTGTTTTTGATAAATGCAGCCATGGTGAGAGACTTCTTTAAAAAAAAATCTTAATGAACTTTTTGATCGGTAGTGTATTTCTGACATCTGTAAAGTATTTTAACATTGAGTGTTCAAGTACATCCCATTTAAACCAAATAGCAATGTGCATTTAATAGCTACTGAAATAAAAAGCAGAGGCAGTGACTCTCCCTTCATTCTTCATTCTGTAGTTCATCAAAACTACGTGGGGACAGATGCAGAGAAGAATCCCTTCTTCCTGTCTGTGGTTCTGTCAGACCAGAACAACCAGAGGGTCCCACAGTATCGAGCCATCCTGTGGCGCAAGACGGTGAGTCAGCCAGTGACAGGTAACAACATGTGTGTGCGTCACTTTTGCTCTGTGCAGTGACTCACATAACAGATTGACCTCTTCATGAAGCGACTCTACATTGTTTGGCTCTGTTGTCTCAAAGGTATTAAATGTCACTTTCCTATGAGCAACAAGTTCTCGGTTATAAAACCCTGTGTCTTAGCCTCCAGCAATACTGGCTTGCTGTCATGTTATGCCATGTCATATTTCGCTTCATATTCGTATAATTTGCGAAATGTGTCCCTCTTCTTTAGGGTACTCTAAAAATCAGCCTTCCATACAGTCCGACAAAAACACTATCAGTCAAATCTATATTAAGGTAAGTCTGTTTATAATGCATCCTGCTTGCCAGTAAACAAATGCACGTGAACATTTAATTTGAGTGAAATAGATTAAAATGCGTTGCATTCATGTGACCTTTTTGCCCTCCAGTGCCATGAATGTGGATCGTTTTGAAAAGGGCCCAAGGGAAATCCTTAACCCAGAGATTCAGAAGGTGCCCACCCACACCTGTCAATCAACATCACATGTTGTCTGCTCTGTTAATTACTGTCTGTTTCTGCTCTGGTTTGTTGTTCTGCTTCATAATCATTCAAACGCAGGCGTTGTGTGAGCTGCTATTGCTCCCGAGAGCTTTGCCTTTGTGGAAATGTGTGCCACTAATCAAAGGCTATTGTCAGCAGCATTCAGATATTTGAATGCATGAACACACTCTCTGTAATGTTTGTGTAACCCACACTATTAGTGCTCCTAACTGATGTTTAGAAATTTAACCTCGTTGGAAACTGAATTATTTATTGTACTGAGATATAATTTATTTTTTGAACAGTTTTTTTTTTATTGTTGGCAGGACTTACTGGTGCTGGAGGAGCAAGAGGTGTGTACTGTCAAATGTGTGTATGTGTTTGATTTTTGTATGCAGTGCGAATAAATTACCTTCTTAATGATTTCTGTATCAGTTTGTTAATGAATTCCTAATGTATGCTCATCACATATGTTTGTATGTTCTCACAGGGCAGTGTAAACTTTAAATTTGGTGTTCTTTATGCCAAAGATGGACAGTTGACAGATGATGAAATGTTCAGCAATGGTGAGCACAGAACCACTCCTAATATGCTCATAATACTAAATATTTTGTTTGTTCCCTTTCTACTGTCAATAGTTGTGCTATATATGCACACTGTTAAATAATAATTACCAATAGCCAAATAGATGTGATTTGAATGTTGTTTCAATCAGAAATATACCATATTAAGAATGTACAATGCAGTTAATTATAATTCACATTTATTTTAGAATATGCATGTGAACAGCATAAGGTGACTCCCTTGATGTTTGTTAAATTTATTAATGCTCTGTGTTCATGTTGGTTTTGTATTTCTTTTTTTCCCTCTCTTTTCTTTACTCCCCCCCCCCCCCCCCCCCCCCCCCCCCCCACCACAAAACGACATACACATAAGCTATAAGATGCACAGTATATTTGTACCATATTGTTTATTTTTATTTACACTACCATTCAAAAGTTTGGGGTATTTTATTGTCCATTATAATGTTGTGCCTAAATTCACTTGTCACATTTAAAATGACTAATTTTACTTTTTAATGTTTTGATTTGAATTTATTTAGACAATATAGTATAGAATTTTAATATGTCATTTACCAACCATGACAATATTTATCAGGTTTTCGTATTATCAGTATCATTATCAGCCCATTCCCAATATGAGCACTATCCAAACGGGATTTTCAAAAACCAGTTGTATCTGAATAAGACTTTAGACACACACACACACACACACACACACACACAAAAAAAAAACACATCCAAGTAAAACTATAAGCAGAATAAGAGAAAGACAAATAGAGAGCAGAGGACACAGACAGAGAGGAGGAATGAAAGAGAGATTTGAATGATAGCAAAGAGAAGGGAGCTGTGTGTGTTTGTTGAGGCAGAAAGGAGGCAGTCTGTAGCTCAGTAGGTGGTGAGGGGAAAACAGGCTATATTTAACATCCAAAAGCGCTGGACATCACAGCGGTCAGTCTCTCCCTCTCTTTTCTCTGCTGCCTTTCCCCCTTCCCCCCTCAGCTCCATATCCTGATTACATCAAGCGTCAATCACTTCACTCTCTCTCTCACTTCATATCTCGCTCTTCTCTTGATTATATCACACACAGCAATCCATCTTTCTTTCTCTCTCTCTCTCTCTCTCTCTCTCTCTCTCTCCCCTTCTGTTTCTCACTTTTTCTATCAGATCATATGTCTGATTGAGTACAAGTAGTGCTCTTGAACACTGGAGTGCTTGTGGAAACATTCACAATAGTAGGATTTTCAAAGTATTTGTATCGGTTCAAGATCTCCACACTCTACAGCCGAGAGCCTCTTCAGCCCTTCGTGTCAATAACCACCTTTTTACCAATGCTGAACCGCTCATGAAAAGAGTAGGAAAGCTGATGCACTCCAAAGTCTCTTACCGACCCCTAAAAGCATGCAGACAAACCAAACAGTCGGAAGACTCAGAAATCAAGTAGAGTTCACAAGGGAGAGCAAGTCTTTTCTTGAAAGAAAACTCTTTTTAAAGGGAGAGTTCACACACACGGAAATTCAGTTATCATTTTCTCACCCTCATGTCGTTCCAAACCCAAATGAGTTTCAAATGAGTGGAACACAAAAGAAGAACCTTTACAGTTATTTTCCATCAAGGACAGTTCATAGTAACTGCATCTGTCAAGCTACAAACAGAAACTACAAACATTTTTGAATGTGTAAATAGCTGTAAATCATAAGATATTTAAGTCGTTATTTACTGATTCAAAAATGTTGCATTGTTGCGTTTCTGTTCAAGTTGCAAAATTAAATTATGCAAATTAATTAACATTTCAAAAAACTATTTGGACTTGAAGCAAGGAGTTTCCATCCCATGTGTTCAATTGAACATAATCATAACTCAGTAACCTGTGCTATGAAATTGACTTATATTGTTGAGGCTTTTGTTAAAGCAAAGCCAAATAATTGTTTTTAGGTAATTTTATTAACAATTTTGGAAATGTTATACATGTTACTGACAACAATTCCACTGTGCAATGAACAACATATGGGTTTGGAAAAACATGAGGCATTTTTGGAGTTAACTGACTGATCCTAGAAGGCTCAACCCTGCTTGTCAGATGCTAGAAACATGTAAGAGAGTCAGTCATGTTGGTATTGTTCAAGTGTTAAACGGTATGTCACTGGAAGTATGCTCTTGTGTAAGGAAGAGGGGAAGTGGCAGAGAATCATAATTGAGCTCTCAGTAGAAATTAATCTGTCGCTGCAATAAGTAAATACTCATTCCTGTCACAGCTCATGGTCATGCGCATGTATCTGTGTCTGGATGCGTGTGTTTGTGTGTGGGAGAGAGAAAGAGAATGAGAGAGATACTAGCTGGCGGAGAGGGGCAGGTGAAAAGCAGCCATGTAGTAATTGAGCTTTAAGGGAATGTTTTATATGTGTGTGTGGGCTCTTGAGATAAAAGATAAAAGCTCCTTTCCGACCGTAATGGTGCAGACTCATTAACAAGCTCAATTATGCTTTCTGGCTAACAGGCTTGAGGTGTCAGAGGTCATATAGCAGCTTTTGAATGTCCACACATGCACACGGACCAACAAACCTATACACATTGGCATGTGCTCTTTTCAAAATGAAACATTTGTCCATCATTTGTTCAGACTGGACAGAAAAAAGTTGGTGTAATAGTTTCAGGTAACAAAAGCAGCCTTTTAAAATGTGTTTCATTAATGCATGATTATAGCTTTCATTATTTCAATCTGTGCAGGTAGAGAGGAAGAGACATATTGGGAACGACATTGTGACCATTGTGTTTCAGGAGGGAGATGACGCCTCTCCGTCCTTCAAACCCTCTATGATTCGCTCCCATTTCACACGTATCCTTCATCCTCAAGCTGAGTGGAAATGATGAAATGAGTCACTCAATGACAGCAATTAGGCTATTTATGGGTGATTTTTTTTTTACAAGACAATGATTAAAAATACATGTAAATACATTTTTGAAGTTTTTCACATCAAGCAATTGTATAATTTCCTTTACATAAACCACAGATATTTTTGCCTTAGTTCGATATAATAGCCAGAATGATTGTTACAGGTTTGTGTGTGTATTTGAGGTTTTACTTTTTATGCATAGCACATGTTAAAGGCACAATATGTAATTTTTGCCACTAGAGGGCGCGTATTCAAAATAAACAAATAGACAAAGGCGTAGTTAGATGACGCCATGACTGAGTGTGGAATCATGGGAGTTGTCGTCTTCATCCCCACAGCCGATGCAATCCGACGGGACTCGGGCAGAAATCATGTTCATGGATGAGCTAATGATTTATTAACGTAGAATGAAGCAGGGTGAGGCTGAAAGCCGTCGAAGTGAAACGAGGCCGCTGAACGAGCGTGACACACGGCTCGAAAGCAGCGGAGCTTTTATTATGCCACAGTCGACCGCTTCCGCTCCTTCCGGTCGTGCGTATGTGGGGGAAAAAAGCAGCGCTGTTTTATCATACTAGATACATTTGAAAGTTCTGTTATAATGCTACTCTATGCGGTCGTCACCGGTACGCACAACATATTAAAGCGTCTTTAGTGTTTCCATGTTCGGAAATCGAGGGGTTATGACGTCATTGGCAGGCAACACAATGACACTATGAACACGCTCCGTGTCACTAGTTAAAATTGCTTATTTCTCTGGATTTAAACATTCTTCCAAACATTAGGGATAATGTAAGTACCCAAGTCAGCAAAATATATAACACTGTTCTAGTGGTTTTTGGATATTTTAATAAAAAAATCTTACATATTGTGCCTTTAAATGTTGTTTTAATAATACATTAAATATTATTAGATTGTATATACACTACTGTTCAAAAGATTTTTTAGATTAAATTAATACTTTTATTCCACTAGGGTGCATTAATTTGATCAAAAACGAAAGTAAGGACGTTTTGAGTGTTACAAAAGTTTCCATTTCAAATCATTCCTGTTCTTTTGACCATTCTCTTCATCAAAGAATCCTTAACAATATAATATGAGCTCTAATATTAAGCAGCACAACTGTTTTCAAAGTTGATCATATCTGCAGATTAGAATGATTTCTGAAGGATCATGTGACACTGAAGAAGTAATAGCTGCTGAAAATTCAGCTTTGTCTTCAAAGGAACAAATTACATTTTAAATTATATTTAAATAGAAAACAGATATTTTACATTATAATAATATTTTAGACTTCAAAAACATTTAAAAAAACGAATTTGAATGCTAGTGTATATTATTTGTATCTTAATCATTTTGTTTTGTTGCAGGTTGAAGATTTTCTCAGAAGAGAGTGTGCCGCTGTTTGGCCCACCGCTCCCTTCCCCTCCAGTGTTCACAGACCACCAGGAGTTCAGGGACTTTTTACTAGTTAAATGTTAGTAAATTCACCAGTACATAAAGTTGTGTTCCTAATCGTTCACCAAAATATAACAACTTTCCCCTGAAACATCACTTTTCTGCTGATGTAACCAAGCCTGTGAATACCAGCCATATCACAGCCTATTAATAATAATTTAAGCCATAAAATCTAAGACTACTAATATTTCATGTCCCAGTCAAAATAGATTACATCATTTTAAATGCATTCCAAATGTCATTTTAATGTTGTCTGCTTCACACAGACCTCCTGTTAGAATATACACCTGTGTTTTTCTGTTACCAGCTTTAATGGTTTGTTTTGGCTCATGAACTCAGTAAAGCAGATGCTTTCGTTAAACAGACCTTGTAAAATGAGTCATGCTGTTTCTTACGGGTAATTCTGTTACATAATACTGCTACCTTTATCCTTCTGTCTCCTATAGTAATAAATGGAGAAAAAGCCACTCTCGAGACCCCCACTTTTGCTCAGAAACGTCAGCGCACTCTGGACATGCTGATCAGATCCTTGTACCAGGATCTCATGCCTGACATGCCCAAGGTATGAACACAATGTTTCTCAATCAGGGGGCGGGGCCTAATAGGGGGCCTCAGCAAACTGCCAAGGCGGCCTCAAAAAAAAAGCCAAAATAACTAAAAATTAAGATATCTCTTACTTTAATTCACCTCTAAACAACAGTTTTTTTTTCTTTTGAAGAATCAGCATTCCCATTGTCTTGATATATATGAGGAAAACTGATATATATGAGGAAGCCAAATTTTAATAGTGTGATTCCTAGACCTGAAAATGCAATTTTTTTGTTGCATTTTCACAATGAATGCATATTTTTCTAGTTATGCCAAGCTCTAAAATATATATATATTTTTAGTAAATTATACATTTTTAAAAAATCCCTATCTACCGGTAGTAAATTACAAATGACTGACAGAGTCATGGGGCCTTCAAATACTATTGTGGACAAAGAAGGGCCTTGGATTCAAAAAGGTTGAAAAGCACTGATATAGCCCAATACTTTTCTGTATTTCACTATGTTTATCCTCAGACTTTTACCTCATTTCCTTTTCTGCCATATATTTTCAGATGTTTTGCACTGTTTCTTCGCACAGTTCTATTTTAGTCGTATTTACACCACTCTTCCAAACCACTGAGCTTTCAAATGCACTTTCATTCTGTTGCAGCCCCCTGTCAGTTGCCATTAGAGATGGACACTTTCTTTTTATTGTTGTCTGTTACTGTTCCTGTTTTAGGGTTCTTCTATTCTTCATTTACTAGAGTTGGGAATCAAGAACCAGTTCCATTCATTTTAATGAAAGAGTAATATTTTAACTAAACAATACAAAGACTTACTGTCTTTGTATTGTTTAGTTAAAATCTTACTTTCATCTTACTCTGACAGTAAACCTTTCTGTTGTGTTGCTCTAATATGCAGCAAGAAAACAGTACAACTGATAACTTTTGTTAACAAATGAATTTTTTGAATCAGTTATTTATCAAAAAGTATCATAAATGAGTGTTCTATAGTAAATCAGAATTTGAACCATCATTATTTGATTCTTAACTCTATCTATGATGGCTGGTAAAGAACAGTGGTGTAAGAATTTGTTAGTTTCTGCTTTGCTCTGTCTTTCTGTCTGTTTCTGGGTCAGTCTCTCAGACCCATCTTTATCTGTACCGCTCCTGTAGGTTCCCTTCTCTCCGCAGAACATGCTGAACCGACGCTCATTCAGCGACGTACTGCCAGAATCACCCAAATCCGCCCGTAAAAAAGAAGAGGCACGCCAGGCTGAGTTTGTTCGAGTGGGACAGGTAGGATGTAGAAATACGAATAAAATATAAAGATATGGCATGAAAGACAATGTCACAATATGAGTAATGTCATTAATAGATATAATATTGCGTCCAGGCCTTGAAGCTGAAAACTATAGTTCGAGGGGATGCACCCACCAGTTTAGTCACCACTGGTCTTTGCAGGAAAGAGGTGAGAGGGCAAGAGGAAAGTGAGATGGATGCTGTTATTTTGCTTTCGGTTCATCTCTAACTGTGTGTTGCCATGTTCTCTGCAGCCATGGGAGTCACAGTCGTTCTGCACTAGCTTCCCGTATGATATAGTCTGTGGAGATTCGTGGGGACAGTCATTACTGGTCGCCACAGATTCAGCAGGGGTCATGCTGCTGGAAGGTGAGAATGCTTTTTCATGAGAAACAATACAACTGGACAGAGGAGCAGTTTTCTTACAAATGACTTGTAAAGACAGACTGAATGTAATTTTGACCAGGCTGGATTGTATGGATTGTATTAATGGACATTGAACTGAGTTCATTTTGTGGGGGGGGATTACAAAAAGAAACTTTGATGCTGCTTTTTCCATACAATAAAAAGGAACAATGAGAAGAGGCTGTCAAACTTACAAAAGGACAAAATGCACAAAAATACTAGTGCCGACAATAAAAAATTTTTGTTGTCTGTGGAAAAAAGTAAATTACACATGAGGATAAGAAAATTAAATAAACATTACCATTCAAAAGAAGGTCTGTAAGATTTAAAATGTTTTTGACAGAACTCTCTTATGCGCACTCGAGCTGCATTTATTTGATCAAAAATACAGTAAAAACAGGATTATGAAATATTATTATAATTTAAAATAAGAGTTTTCTGTTTTAATGTTTTAAAATGTAATTTATTCCTGTGATCGCAAAGCTGAACAGTCTTCAGACTCTTCAGAAATCTTTTTAATATTCTAATATGTTGTGCTGCTTAATATTTTTATGGAAACAATGCTTTAGGATTTTAGCCTTCAATGAATAATCCATATTTTAGGATTCTTCCAAAAAATAGCCTTTATTTAAATTTTGTAACAGTATAAATCACTTTAATTGCACTCTTGATCATTTTAATGTGACCTTCCTGAATAAGGAAGTATTAAATTCTTTAAAAAATAAAATAAAATACTGACCCCAGACTTTTGAATGGTAGTGTTCAAGGCACTTTCTTGTTTTGTTTTGTTTTTTACTAAAAAACTGAAATTTGATTACCTTTATCTTCCCTTTTAGCCTCAGATCCACTGTTCTCCAATGCAGGTATGTAAAGCAAAACCACTACACTACAGACGAAACAAATGCTTATAAATATTACAAAGAATTTATACGTTTTTTTTTACAGTGATAGTTATCAAATGTGTCTTAATCAAAGCAAGCAAATCTCAGTGGGGGATTGAGTTACCATGCAGACCACAAACTAATCTTGCTTTGCATGCTGATCTAGATTCACCAACCCTGCCTCCGGTGCAGGTATTTGACAAAACCTTGACTGTCAAACAAATGCACGTGCTTGAACCTCAGGACCTCCTCATTGCAAGAGCAGATAAGGGTAAGATGTGTGTTGTTTTTCTATTTACATGAGCATATGAATGAGACAATTCGTATGTGGGTAGAAGAAAGGGTGTGAAATGATCTGCCAGAAGAGAGACAGCGTGAGAAAGAAAAAGACCAAAGCAAAGCGGCGAAGGAAACTCTAGGTCTTTGCTCTAATGAGCATCTTTAGCCAACAGGGAATAGCACAAAATAGTATCTCAAACACACACACATGCGGGCAGCATCTCTGGTTCGCATTGTCTAGACTTATAGCTCATTATAAAGAGAAGCACGGACTAGGGATCCATGTAATTTAGAGTCTTCCGCCTTTTTCTATTCTGATCATTAGTTCAAGATGGTGTACAGCAAACTCTCACTCTTATTGGAAAGCACAGCTTCTCCAGAGGGAAAATAATGAATTGGTTATCAACTCGGTCACCAAGCAACTTTCATTCACTACGACAGGCATTTGAAAACCAAACATGTTGCATTAGCTGAGATGTCATTCAGTTTGATGAGACGGGTCTCTCATTAGTTGCCAACCAGTTATCATATAGTTACGGTTCTGAAAGCTGTTGTTTGTAGAATTCCCTAAACAGCTAAAGTAATCACACTCATTTGAATATTCAAACTGAACCAGAGTGCTTGAGTCTTTAAATCAAATTAAGCTTTAATTCCAATTGCTTTATATCCAATTTCGACTGTGTTGCAGGGAAAGATGCTCGACTGTATGTTTACAGACTAAGCTCTCTCAAACGGGGGATAGAGGAGCGGCAGCTTGTCCGCACCAAGTGTGACAGTCGAGAGAACAAGCTTGAGAAAACCAAAGGTACGAAAGAAGGCCACACAAATATTTGAAATGATTTAAAATCGGACAATATTATTTACATTCTAAATACGAGTGTTGGTGAAGCAACATTCTGAAATTGAAATTTTCTAATTCAAAGTAGTTAGAAGGATAGTTCACCAAAAAAATGAAAATTCTGTCATTCATTACTTTGCCTAATGCCGTTTCAAACCCGTAAGACCTTCGTTCATCTTCGGAACACAAATTAAAATATTTTTATGAAATCCGATAGCTTTCTGACCCTGCATAGACAGCAACACAACTGAAATGTTCAAGGCCCAGAAAGGTAGCACGGACATCGTTAAAATAGTCCATGTGACATCAGTGGTTCAACCTTAATTTTAAGAAGCTACGAGAATACTTTTTGTATGCAAAGAAAACAAAAATAACGACTTTAATATTAAAATTACGATTGAACCACTGATGTCACATGAACTATTTTAATGATGTCCTTACTACCTTTCTGGGCCTTGAACGTGGGAGTTCTGTTGCGGTATCTGCAGGGTCAAAAAGATCTCGGATTTGATCAAAAATATCTTAATTTGTGTTCCGAAGATGATCAAAGGTCTTGCGGGTTTGGAACGACATTAGGGTGAGTAATTAATGACGGAATTTTCATTTTTGGGTGAATGATCCCTATAAGCTTATTAAAGCTATGCTGTCTATGGAGGTTCATGTGATACTGACAACTGGAGTACTGACTACTGAAAATTCAGCTTTGCTTTCAGGAATAAATTACATTTTAAAATATATTAAAATCGAAAAAACATTCAATTGTAATACTTCACAATATTACTGTTACTGTATTTTGATCAAATAAATGAAACAAATTTGAAGTTTCTTGAAGAATTTAATAATTAGCTAATAAATTAGATGATTTCCAAGATCATCGCAATCAAGTAACAGAAATGTGTTTCCTCAGGCTGCCATCTCTACTCCATAAACACGCATCATGGGGTGGAGCTCAGAATCGTTGCGGCGATAAGAAACAAGCTCCTCCTGATCACCAGGAAACAGTCACGCCTCGATTGCCTTGGCTCTATCGCTACAGTCACAGGGACTACTGACTCACCTGTGGAAGAGTTCCAGTACATACGGGTTTGACAAATTTGAAGTTTCTTGAAGAATTTAATAATTAGCTAATAAATTAGATGATTTCCAAGATCATCGCAATCAAGTAACAGAAATGTGTTTCCTCAGGCTGCCATCTCTACTCCATAAACACGCATCATGGGGTGGAGCTCAGAATCGTTGCGGCGATAAGAAACAAGCTCCTCCTGATCACCAGGAAACAGTCACGCCTCGATTGCCTTGGCTCTATCGCTACAGTCACAGGGACTACTGACTCACCTGTGGAAGAGTTCCAGTACATACGGGTATGAGACGGATTCAGCACTCTTACACATGTCATGCATTGACGTTAACTGCATCTTATTGTCACTTGTAGTTTATAGGAACGGTTCTCACAGACAGATTTTTCAAAAGCTCTCAACAGTTTGAATGATTGCTGTCTCCTTTCTTAGGAGATCTGCTTATGTGACTCACCGGTGGTCATGGCCCTGGTTGATGGCCCAACAGGAGAGAATGATCACATGATCTGTGTGGCCTACAGACATCAGTTTGACTTGATCAATGAGAGTACAGGAGACGCTTACAGACTACACCATGTAGACTCCAACCGGGTGAGAAACAGCCACTTGAATACAAACATAGGCTAGACTACCATTTGTGGTCAGGAAGATTATTCTTTTTTATATAAAATATATATACTATATATGTATATTTCTATTTAGCAAGGATGCAATTAATTGATCATCAGAAGTGACAGTAAAGATATTTATAATGTTACAAAAGATTTCTCTCAAATAAATGCTGTTCATTTGAACTATACATCAAAGAATCCAGACAAAAATGTATCAGTTTTCACAAAAATATTAAGCAGCTCAACTGTTTTCAACATTGATATTAGCAAGAAATGTTTCTTGAGCTGCAAATCAGCATATAAAATTATTTCTGAAGGTTCATGTGATACTGACAACTGGAGTACTGACTACTGAAAATTCAGCTTTGCTTTCAGGAATAAATTACATTTTAAAATATATTAAAATCGAAAAAACATTCAATTGTAATACTTCACAATATTACTGTTACTGTATTTTGATCAAATAAATGAAGCTTTGGAGAGCATAAGAAACCTCTTTTAAAAAATCTTACTGACCCAAACTTTTGAACAGCAGTGTACACATTCATTTACACAATATAACACGATCTAGATATCCTCCCCTTCACTTTATCAGTTATGTACACCAAACTGTCAGTTTTTGATCGGTAACATGAGTGTCTATTACTTTTCTCCAGGTGAACTTTGTTGCTGCCATAGATGTGTATGAAGATGGAGAGGCTGGACTTCTTCTTTGCTATAACAGTTAGTGTCTATTACAGTGTCAGTGATTGCATCTGCATAGTCAGATTCTCTAAAGCTGGACTTTTCTTTTAACAGATATCTGCGTCTATAAGAAGGTGTGTCCGTTTAACGGAGCAACACCCATGATTCAGCCCAATACTTCAGACTTCCATTTCAGCTGGAATCAAATGCCCAACGCTATTGGTCAGTGCCTTTAGGATCTTGAAAATTCTTTGTTATTACTAATTTTTCTACAGTTCAACATTCGTTTTGCATTTGCATTAGTGGAAATAATTGAGATGTCTCACTATTCTGTCACTTCCTGTGTCACAGTGTGTGCATTCCCGTATATCCTTGCATTCACCACTGACTCCATAGAGATTCGACTAGTCGTTAATGGCAACCTAGTATATACAGCTGTCGTTCCAGAATTGCAACTGACTGCGTCCAGAGTAAGTGTTCTAGCCATAAGGTTCTACCTATGAAGACCATTATATAGCGGTGTATTTATCTGGTGTAAATGACATTTTTATTGTACAGTCTGAAACCATATTTTAAATATTTTATTACACTCTTTTTAGATTACTTTTTAAATATTTGGGATCCGTAAGACTTTTTAATCCATAAGACTGCATTTATTTGATCGAAAATACACTAAAAACAGTAATATTATTATAATTTACAATAACTGTTTTATATTTTAATACATTTTAAAATCTAATTGATTGTCAGTGCCGATAGCCTTGTGGGCAGTGCGCCGTTGAGATACGGGTCCCAAGTTTGAATCCCGACTCAAGGGCAAAAAAATAAAGGCAAAAATGCCAAAAATAAATCTTTAAAAAATATAATTGATTCCTGTAATGGCAAATGCATTATCAATTTTGAAAAACGTAATATTTTTTGTGGAAACCATGAACGATTTTTCAAATAGTTTTTTCATTTTTCAAATTTTTCTTTTGCTGACAAAAGAACAGCATTTATTTGAAATACACTTTTTTGCATTATTTAAAAGTCTTAACTGTCACTTTTGATCAATTTAATGCATCTTTTCTGAATAAAAATGTGAATTTATTTTTTTTAAATCTCACTAACCACAGACTTTTTAATGGTAGTGTACACTCTAATAAAATTTTTTCAAATTTTTCTTTTGCTGACAAAAGAACAGCATTTATTTGAAATACACTTTTTTTGCATTATTTAAAAGTCTTAACTGTCACTTTTGATCAATTTAATGCATCTTTTCTGAATAAAAATGTGAATTTATTTTTTTTAAATCTCACTAACCACAGACTTTTTAATGGTAGTGTACACTCTAATAAAAAGAATTTACACAGCTTTAACACATGGAAAATTTATTAACAGTTGAAAACGTATTGATGACAGTGTTGTCTCTTTTATAAGATGCATTCTTCTGTATAAATAAATAATATTTATTAAATAATAATAAATAATTCTTCTTTATAAATTATACAAATCCTTTCCAAACATTTATCAGTCATTTCACATTTCTTACAGTTTTTCTCTTGTTATTTCTTCCTCTCTTTTTTCTGTAGTCTGATATCTATTTCATCTCGTCAGCACCTATAAACTCTGCCTCCAACTGTAGCTCCAGAGACACTAGTTCCCAGAGTTCCCCTCAGACTCCAACTGGCTACGAGATGCCTGTCTTCCCTTCCCCGCTTGGAGATGGTAGGCTTCTTCTCTTGATGGAACAATTCAACTGAATTCCCATGCTATTAAACTTAATATAGAGGTTAAACATGGGTATTTGCGTTCAGGAGTCCTGCATTTCTTCTGGTAGCGAGTTTTGTATGCGAGTTGTGAGTCTGTGTTTGTGTATTGTCTTACGATGCATTTGTCTTTTAATCTGTGCGTGGGTTGGGTTGATATATTGCTCTTTTCCATCCCTGGTCCAGATTGTATTCGGATCCCCTACGGCACCAAGCTAACCCTCTACATGTCTAAAGACTCTGAAGGTACTGCAGGCACTTCTGTTGCCTACATTTCCCATGCTGCCTCACTAATGCACGCTACCGCGGAGACTCACCCTGTCTATTATTCAATTAACAGACGCATGCAGACGGTGTTGAGTGAAATATGCAGCTAACATAATGTGTCCCTTCCTTCTTGCAGTCTCATAGAATGAATGACAGAGACAGAGAAAAAATGGTGGCTTGAGGAGTCTTTAGGAAAAAATATGAACAATGGAGAGAAACTGAAGTGAATGGGATAGAGAGGTGGGAGAGGAAATCAATAGACAGAGAGAGACAGATACATAGAGACAGACAGAGATGGCTGAACAGACGCTTTAGGGAAATGGGACACATTTGCTGCAGCATGAGTTACAGATCGCTGTGTCACCATGGATACTTTTGTCAGAGCCCCTCTTCATACATACACATACACACACATGCGGTCTGGACGGCCCTCCAGAGCTTAGCACTTTTGGCTACACACAAGGCCTGAAGATAGCCATCAAGGGGCTGTGACAAAATCCACATCCTGGTATTTTTAAACATCCAGCCAACTGTCTGTGGCTGCCATTTTTGCACCATGGGAAATAGACGGATAACATACCATTAATCATCTCAACATAACATTCACAATACAGCAAGATTGTAACACTTTACTATAAGGTTCAATTTGTTAACATTAGTTAATGCATTTGGTATCATGAACTAAAAATGAACAGTACTTTTACAGTATTTATTAATCTGTTCTTTCTACAAATTCATTTCTAACATTTCAAGCAGTATAAAATAGCATTAGTGTTTTTTCCACAAACATGAATAATTATCAATGTTACATTTATAAATTAACATTAACCTGGATTAATTCATGCTGTAAATGCATGATGCATTAGCTAAATTCAGCTAATTTCACCTTATTGTCAAGTGTTACCATTTCTTGTTGTATGTTTTTATTTTCTTTCAATCTGTATAGAACAAATTTGATTATTATTATTTTACTTATACTACCGTTTGGGGTTTGGTAAGATTATTTTATGTATTTGAAAAAAGTCTCTTATGCTTACCAAGGATGCATTTATTTGATCAAAAATGTGATGAAAACTGTTATGTTGTGAAATGTTATTCATTTTAAATAACTGTTTTTTAATTTAAGGTAAATTGCTAATTTAATGTAAACAACTCCTCAGCAGTTGCCGTCCTGTTCTGTCTAAAATAGTCTGAATATAAACACTTATTATAGTCATACCATAATGATTCAGGATAAGACAAAAACACGCTTTAGAAGACAGATTCATAATATAATTGCACATTTTGTAAATTCTGAACAAAAAAAAGTTACATAGTGTACCTTTACTTTCTTACTGACCCAAATTTAAATTAGTGTGTGTGTGTGCACATATATATATATATATATGCAAACACACACACACACACACACACACACACACAATACAATGTGTGTATGTATATATTTCTTTCCAAAGTTGCTGTTCCATGGTACAAAGATGACTTTGGAATACTTTCAGTGTATTCCAGACACACGCATGGATTTATAACAAAACAGACCTGTGTTTGATTATGACTCTCTAATTATTCTAAATTAACTTAAAGGGGAAGCATTCTTCCTTGCCTGGTGTATGCTGTTGGACACTGTCATGTCTCTAACCAGATCCTTGCTTTTTTATCTAACATGACTACAGTTTTCAAGATTCTTGTTTGTTGCTACTAAAATGTGTGTGAATTATTTGCTCTGAATCACCATGTCTGTGTAGTTTATTAATCAAAAATGCCAATACTGTTCCACAGTATTCAAGATACTGTAGCAATCATAGTATCACTACCCCATATGCATATATTCAACAACATGCACATATTGAACCCTCTCACCCAGATAAAAGTAGTATTTCTTAAGGTTTATGTCAATTTTTTGTTTGATTTTTATTATAGTATTTTATTATTGTGTTGGTTCTTTATTAAAGCTTTATCTGGCAGCATATATATATTTTTATTGTTTGTTTGTTTTTGCTTTTTTTATTGAGACACTGGTGGGGTGACACTTCACGTTGATATTTAACTCCATTTTGTCCAGTGGCCTTGCAGTTTCCATAATTTCCTGCTCTCGCTCTGCCCAAAATGACCAAAAAGTGATACATGGAATACTTCATTAACATAGGCAGACAGTCAGCTCTGATTAAGTGGCTGCCCCTCTGCCCTTCCCATGTGGTTGCCCTAGTTTCTGAGGAACGAGTATTAGAGACTATCTATTCAAAATTATTTTAGCTATCTACATGATGTCAAGTCATTGTTTTACAAGACTGAGTCAAGAGTCAAGTTAAGTCAAGCAGATAGAAAATATGAGAGTTAACCGTGATAAATGTGTGGTGCTGTACATTTACCTTATAGACTTGTACTGTAAAAACATAATTTTCATGCACTAAATGAAGAGTCCTAACCAATCAGACTGTTCTGGTTGTGGACCATCAAATTTCCCAAAAAATCAAATTCCTGTTCCAATTTGGTGGGCTTTATTTGGGTTGAACTTACTGTTTTACCTAATTTGGCCGAATGTTTACGACAGTTGACAAATGTAAACGTGAGATTAGGCTCAGTGCACCCAAAAAATCAACGATGTCAGTCTGTGAACTGGAGTCATCAGATCAAGTCTGAGTTGAGTCACAAGTAATTGCAATGAAGTCTAAAAACAAACTCCAGTCTGACTCAAGTCCAAGTCATGAGCCTGAAGCCCACACTTTGGAGAGGGAAAAATATGCTATAAAAACAGACATGCTCTAACCAGACGTGATGTGATAAGTTTCCTGATCCGAGCAATTTGTCTGACTGAACATGAAAAAGCAGTGTGACACAGTCAAAGACCATCAGAACACAGTAACGATTTGGAGTGGCATGGCCAAGGTGGGTACCAATGTTGCAATACTTATGGGTCTTGTATATATGAAAAAGTAGAGTAGAGTAGGGTATTAGATAACTACTTACACTACCAATCAATGGTTTAGGGTCAGATTGGTTTTTTTTTTAAATAAATTATTATTTCTTGCATTCAGCAAGGACGCATTTAATTGATCAAAGGTGAAAATAAAAGCATTTATAATTTGCTATTTTAAATTGTATTTTGAATAAGATATTCATTTCAAATGAATGCTGTTCCTTTCAGCTGTATCCTTTTTTAAGAATACTGAAGAAAAAATGTATCACAGTTTCCACAAAACTATTAAGCAGCACAACTATTTTCAACATCATAAAAAAGGATAAGTAGTTAAATAAATGTTTCTTGAGCACCAAATCAGCATATTAGAATGATTTCTAAGGGATCAAGCAACACTGAAGAGTAATGGCTGCTAAATTTAGCTTTGTCATCACAGGAATAAACTAGATTGTAAAATATTTTCAAATTAAACAGTTTTTTTTTTTAAATTGTAATATTTCCCTAATATTGCTGACTGTTTTTAAATGCAGACTTGGTTAGCGTTAAGAACTTATCAATTCAAAAACATTTTTAAAAATGTATTACTGACCCTAAACTTTTGAATGGTAGTGTGTTTACTAAAAGACTGTTGCATCAGAATTAAATTAAACTGTTTTAGTTATTCCACAAATGCACGCTTACCTGTGGGTAGGTACAACACAGTTGTTTTCATTTGAGCTAATTAGTCTAATTACAGTATAATGGATTCAGCAGTGACTCTGTGTGTGAGTGCATTTCTATATGTGTGTTTTAACATCATTCTGTGCAGATTAGATATTGATGTGCCTAGCAGCAGTTCTGCACCTAGACAGACTATTAACTCTGTAGCAGTTACACCATTTATTCTAACATCTCATTTGTTAGTTTTCTCTCTCTTCTTTTTTGCCCCTTTCCAACTACCCCTTTCTTTCTTCAAGGTGAAGCTCCCTCAAAACACATCTATAAGATCCCATTGAGCAACCTAGTTGGCCGGAGCATAGAGAGGCCCCTCAAGTCTCCGTTGGTCAATAAAGTGCTCACGGCACCTGCCTCCAGTGTGATCGGCCCCACTCCCATGATCGCAAGCACAACCTCTCTCTCGCTGTCTCGCATGGAGATCAAAGAGATCGCCAGCCGGACACGGAAAGAACTGCTGGGTGAGTGTCTCTGTGTTTGTGTGTTCTTGAACCGAAAGCTATCATTACGTTTGTGCGGCACAGCGGGAAGCTGGCAAGAAATGTACCAAAAGAAATCAGCCGCAGCGGGTTGGACAAGTGGTGCAGCTCAGTACCATTTATTATTAACCTTTCAATTGTGGGTGATAAAAAAAACTGTTAACGATACATGCATACTTGATCTGTTGTAATGCTTGTTCTGCAGTCAAACTGAGATGAGACAGACATTTTGTATTATGAAGTGTTAGAGTGAGACATTCTGATCACACATTAGATAAACTGCTTGAATTACTAGACTGCCACACTTCACACCCTACATACACAGACACACACACACACACACACACACACACACAGACAGAATAATGGCTGAGTGGACTATTAGAAGCGCTATTGCAACTCCTGGAGGTGCAATTTAATGTCATTTTATAATTTCGGCTTACTACGTTGAATTATGTATTATTATTATATAATCAGTATTATATGAATTTGTGTGTGTCTGAGTTTGTCTTTGTCCTCTGTACCTGTTATAGGTTTGACTGAGGAACCCAGCAGTAAGGCTGATGGTAACTCAGTGAAACAAAGAAAAATTAGCAAGAAAACCAAGGAGGAAGAACAGAGAACAGCAGAGATAAGCACCACTGAGCAGTAAGTGTGTGTGTGTGTGTGTGTGTACACACACACACACACAGAATAATGGCTGAGTGGACTATTAGAAGCGCTATTGCAACTCCTGGGGGTGCAATTTAATGTCATTTTATAATTTCGGCTTACTACGTTGAATTATGTATTATTATTATATAATCAGTATTATATGAATTTGTGTGTGTCTGAGTTTGTCTTTGTCCTCTGTACCTGTTATAGGTTTGACTGAGGAACCCAGCAGTAAGGCTGATGGTAACTCAGTGAAACAAAGAAAAATTAGCAAGAAAACCAAGGAGGAAGAACAGAGAACAGCAGAGATAAGCACCACTGAGCAGTAAGTGTGTGTGTGTGTGTCTGTGTCTGTGTCTGTGTCTGTGTGCGTGTTTTGGTTGGGTGGTAGGGCTGGGCAATACATATTGAATATTCATGATAAATTCACAGAGTTGATAAGTTCGATTCATTTTCTTAAATCAGTCATTTTCATAAACCGTTTCAATTAATTGGTTCAAAACTCAATTGTCACTTTTTATTTTATGAATCTGTTGAATGTTTTGTCAATTACATTTTTTCCCCATAAAAATCATGTACTAAAACATTACATTACTAATAAACAGTAATATTTTTACAACAACAAAAAAAATCTCCTTAGTCCATTTAGCCCATGCTTTAATAATTTCAAGACTTTTGCAGCTTTTTACAGTTACTGAAAGAAAAAAAGATATAGACCTACACAATATACAAAAGGTTTGAGGTCATTGTTTGATAAAAATACAGTAATAAAATATTATTACAAACTAAAATATATTTTAAAATGTACTTTATTCTTGTGATGGCAAAGCCAATTTTTTAGCATTATTACTTCAGTCTTCAGTGTCACATGATTCTTCAGAAATCATTATAATGTGCTGATTTGGTGCTCAAGAAACATTTTTAATTATTATTCATGTTAAAACTGTGATACGATTTTTCAGCATTCTTTGATGAATAGAAAGTTCAAAAGAACAGCATTTATTTAAAATTCTAAATAAATAGTATTATTTAATCATAATTTATAATATTATAAATGTCTTTACTATTCTGTTTGATCAATTTAATGTGTCCTTTCTCAATAAAAAGCTATTTCTTAAAAAAAAACAACCCAAGCTTTTGAACAGCAGTGTGTTAAGTAGACTGAAAATATCAAGCTATAATGTTTAAAGCATGTATGTCGCCCAGTCCTAGCAAGTGAAAGGTTATTTCTGCATGTTAGACACAAGTATACCAGTGATGTATACTGACTATAAGATATCTCCAATCAATCAGAGTGGGAATGGAGTCTGTAGATGCAGAAACTGATGTCCATCGGCTTTGCTCATCTGGCTCTACGGTGGAGCCACGAGATGATAGCCCTCCCACGGCCAGCCCTTTTACCTTCTCCACATCTTTTGAGGAGGATATTCTGGACCTTAAGTGATGACAATCACAGTCTGTGGATCAAAGTGCACCTCTCACCTTACACATCCTACTACCTTTTACTTTATATCATTCTTATTTACCATGTTACGTTGCATTTTGTGTTTTCCTCAGTCTGCCCACTCATCTGTGTGCGCAAATGAATCCCCAGAGCTTTAAACTTGACGGAGTTTACAGTGTGGTGATGTCAAAATTTACTCCTGGTGGATGTATGCATGCGTGCGTGTGTGTATGATCCTGTGTTTACTGTATAAGATAGAAATACAACTAGAAAATTTTGATTCTCAGCTATTATTTCAGAATTTTGTTTAAAGAAAAAAGAAAAAAATGACCAAAAATGTTTTTTTTTTAAAAGTCAAGGTTTGATTTAGTTTCTATGATTGATGAGACACATTCTCCATCAGCTTTTGGACAAATGTGTAGCTTTGTAGCAAACTTGTAGCCATATGAACAGAAATAAGAAATTTAAAAACAAAAATGGCTTGAAAGCTTTGAGCCACAATTTAAGGTCAAGGCTAATATTACTTTTCACTCCAAGACCTGAATGTAAGATTGACACTCTTAAAAACAATGAAACCTTTTTTTAATTTTGTGTTTTTAAATGTTTTCTATGTCTGTGATTTGTACATTGTGTGATTATTTCAAAGTTGTAAAAAACTCTATATGCATCTCGGTTCAGATGCACATGAACATTCAAATGTAAACATACATACATATAAATATATACCTTTCTAGTTCTATTGTATTATGGAGAAATAAAACTCACGTATTGTGTATATCAGTGTTATGGTCTAACCTGCCTTCACCCTCACCATGCTTTTAAACCCTGACATGCAAACCCTCTGCAGAAAGGGCAGGAGTCTCCCACAAGTGCCATTTTCTACTGCAGCCGTCAAGCACTAGCGCCCTCTATCAGACTGACCATGGATTGCATGTCATGAGGCGGAAGCAAACAAAAACCATTACAGAACACAGTTTGGTCACTACATCTGGTAAATGTGCAGCTGTTTACTATGCTAACAGTATGAGCTTTGATCCATGAACATCTTCATTTACAGGTGCACACAGTCAAACGCAGTCTTTAAGTGCTGTTGCTTCTTGAAAAGGGCTCTAGATCACCTGCATGCCTCCATTCAAACCCACTATAAAATAAAAAGGGATTTGATGTATTAATGGTTTAGAATTAGGATGTATTTACTCTTCTCGTGGATTTGGTTCAAATAAAAAAATTAAAATCTCTAGGAATTAAAGCCAGGGTTACTTAGATTACATCTCTGACCCTAGGTCAGGGTTCCTCAAATCTTGCCCTGGAGGTCCAATGCGCTGCAGAGTTTAACTCCAACCCTGATCAAACTCAGCTACCTGTCATTTTCTAATGATCCTGAAGACATTGATTAGCATGCTCAGGTGTGTTTGATTAGGGTTAGAGCTAAACTCTGCAGGAAAGTGGATCTCGTGGGTCAGATTTGAGGATTCCTGCTCTAGGTTATGCAGCCAAAAAAAAATTATTCATCAGGATCTTTGTCTTGTTTTCTAGAAGAATCTAAACATCTTAAAACAACATGAATTTATGTGAGAAGCAAAGCGATATTAAGACTTTTTCTATTTTTTTGGCCCATTTTTTTCTAGATTTAGGCATAAGCCTCATTTCACACACACACACACACACACACATATATATATACTAATAAATATTCTTAGATTATTTAAAGATGTTTAGATATTTTAACTGGAAAACAACACATAAATACCTAATAAAAGGTTTTTGCTGTGTAATAAGAGAACGAGAATATTGATTCTGCTGTTTACAGTTCAAACTCAGATTTTAAAGAATGTCATCAAAGTGACAACAGAACACAAGAGCCTCAGGAACAGCACAAGAGGAGGTGTAAGTATTAAACTGCTTAGCTGAATGCATGACCCCCTCACTCTCAACCTTTCTCCATCTGAATGTGAACCATTTAACACTAGTAGCAGACTGGACTAAAAAGGGAAAACTTGGGAATATTTTTGTAAATGAAGAGTTTTACATATCATTTATTTGCTATTTTGTTGTCTTTGAAGGGAATGGGTGAGCCAGAGACTGATGGAATATATTTTTCAGGGGTTTTTTTTCCTTTGGCATATTGTCCGTTCGCCCTCCTTCAGTTCACTCCCCTAACTGTTTTCACAGTGGTTTTGTATCTATATCGATATTAACTGTTTAGACTGTTGCAGAAACTCTGTGAATATCAGAAATTAAACAAAAATTAATAAATAAAAAAAAACACCAAGTGTCTTAAAATATTGTATTGCCATTGTTTTTAATGCCAAGTACTACTTGTAAATGTTAGTGTTTCAGATGTGCCCTCAAAAATATTACTATTATTATAGCATTTATTTGAAAAAGTGCTGTAGCCCACTGCTGTAGTTATTGTTCATCGATATGAAATAAATATTTATGAAATTTGACCATGAAGTTTTTTTTTTCCTTTGGCATATTGTCCGTTCGCCCTCCTTCAGTTCACTCCCCTAACTGTTTTCACAGTGGTTTTGTATCTATATCGATATTAACTGTTTAGACTGTTGCAGAAACTCTGTGAATATCAGAAATTAAACAAAAATTAATTTAAAAAAAAAACACCAAGTGTCTTAAAATATTGTATTGCCATTGTTTTTAATGCCAAGTACTACTTGTAAATGTTAGTGTTTCAGATGTGCCCTCAAAAATATTACTATTATTATAGCATTTATTTGAAAAAGTGCTGTAGCCCACTGCTGTAGTTATTGTTCATCGATATGAAATAAATATTTATGAAATTTGACCATGAAGTTTGTGTTTTAACGAGTGTAAGTATACTACTCACATGCTTGAACATTTATAGCATATATTGACAGCTATGATTATTAACTAGTGATATGTGGTCTCCCAATGTTGAAGGGTTTTTCGAGACAGCAATAGAGTCTGCAGAGAGTCAGCAAACTGCTGTCAACATGAAAGGACAGTGATGTTAATAGTCATAAAAACCTCAGTGACATTGTATGAACCATCACTAAATAGAGTAATGTAATGCAAATTGAGTATTGTTTCCGCAAAGTGCTGAAAAGGTCTCGAAATCAAATCTCGAGCTCGGAGAAATGTAGGTTTTAATAAGTAATTACTGGCTTTCAGCATCCCAAACAGCCTTTAACATTGATAGACAGACCAAAATCAACAGAAGTGGCAGGGATGCTTAAGTAAATAAAATGGAGTTACTTTGGAAGAACTTACCCGTAGGCCTAGTTCGTTTTCAATGTGAAAGTGCAAACCTCGCTGACAATTCCGTAGAGAAATGGTGCGTTCAAGTCATGTCGGATAGATCGTATTTACGAGTTGAACGCACATGAACGCCACCACAACGTCGTAATTACAAAATTAAAATGTTCTTTAAGTCCCGAGTTTCCGAGTTGGACGCGTGTCAATGAGAAACATGGCGGAATCGATGGATGCAACGTCTGTAGTTGAGGGTAAAATTTTATTTAAATTTATAGTTTAGTTGTCCTATAACGATTGCCGAAGTAAAATATAAATCACAATACTTATAAGTATTAAGCAGTGACATTGTCAGGCTTTTTATTTACAAAACATAAGCTTTTTGAATGTGGCAGGATTGTAATGTAATAGGTTTTTATGCGATACAGATTAAAGTGGCTTCATAAATTACTTTTTAAAAATATTAAAAACGCAAAACACACCTGATGCGAATTCTTTGCTCTTCATTTTCTATAAGCAGAGTTAACAGACCCTGTTGTATTTTCTTATCTTGTATAAGAAGGTATCTTGTGCCGACTAAACCGAGTTCAACGCT